AATCTGCTGGTTTGTGGTCCCTTTAAATCTGCTGGTTTGTGGTCCCTTTAAATCTGCTGGTTTGTGTTCCCTTTAAATCAGCTGGTTTGTGGTCCCTTTAAATCTGCTGGTTTGTGATCCCGTTAAATCTGCAGGTTTGTGGTCCCTTTAAATCTGCTGGTTTATGGTCCCTTTAAATATGCAGGTTTGTGGTCCCTTTAAATCTTCAGGTTTGTGGTCCCTTTAAAACTGCTGGTTTGTGGTCCCTTTAAATCTGCTGGTTTATGGACCCTTTAAATCTTCAGGTTTTTGGTCCCTTTAAATCTGCTGGTTTGTGGTCCCTTTAAATCTGCTGGTTTGTGGTCCCTTTAAATCTGCAGGTTTGTGGTCCCTTTAAATCTGCAGGTTTGTGGTCCCTTTAAATCTGCTGGTTTGTGGTCCCTTTAAATCTGCTGGTTTGTGGTCCCTTTAATTCTGCTGGTTTGTGGTCCCTTTAAATCTGCAGGTTTGTGGTCCCTTTAAATCAGCAGATCTTTATTTTCCTCCATACTTTAAATTCTCTAAACACAAAGCGCAGGAAAAGTTTAAATAATTGTTGAAAAGAGTTTAAGTTATTTTTGCAAAATTCTATCTTGTGTGGTTTCACTAACAAACTTCTCCTTCTCAAAATGTAAATAAAATATTAAAACCATGAGTTTAAATTTAAAAAAAAATATTCAGTAATAAATTCTAAGTTTCTTATTACATCACAATGATAATGTTTATTCGAAAAAATGTATTTTATATTTCAAGGGAATATAATTCAGTTCTCATTTAAAATTCAACATTAAAACAAAAATTTGCAGAAAATTCAATTCGGAGCGAGAAAAAAATTTAATCTTAATATTTGAAAATGTATATTTTATGTTTTTGTCAGAATTGTCACCCATCCGAAAATAATGTCAAGACTGGAGATATTTAGAAAAGTTCGCAAGTAGAAATAATGATGTCTGTGAACAAAAACTTAATATTTTGGCTTTTTCTAGGAAAGGGGGGCCTTATATAATTATATCCTGACCTCCCCCCCTCGATTTCAAATTAAAGTATATCTCACGATAGATAAAAATATTACATGGTTTTAATCATAACTTCTTCTTTTGAAGTTTGAAGAGCTGTCAAGAAAACAAAGAAGTTTTAAATTTCTAATATGCAACCAAAGAAATTAGCTTCTATATATAAATTTAGCTTGTCTGGGTGTCTGTTTGTTTGTTTGTTTGATTGTATCCAATAAACGTCAAAACGGCTGAACCGATCAGGCCCAAATTTTGTGTGAAACCTCATGTGACCTCAGGGAATGATCAAAATTTTAAAAATTTGTGTTTAAAGTTTCTTATTTTTAAAAAATTTTGAGAATGCGCGAAAAAATATTTTTAAATCCTTTTAACTTTTGTTTTGTTTTTGTTTTATACTGTACAAAGAGAAGATGCTCACAGATAAAGCCACAATTAAAAGTTGAAATAGAAGATGGGTGCGAAGCGCCCAAAAAGCCTAGTTCTTTGTATATACAATTCATATTATATCTATCTTGAGCGTAAAATCAAAACTACAAGATCACCAGTATTTCCCCATAATACCTATATCTGTCTAACCTGATTGCGTAAACCTTTGATATTTCAAACTCAGATTAATTGATCTAACAGAATTCATAAATAGTTTAAAATATCTGATGTCTACGACATTGGGTTGGAAAGATATTGGGATCAGAAAATCATTATTATTATTATTATTATTATTATTATTATTGTTATTATTATTATTATTATTATTATTATTATTATCATTATTATTACTGTGATTTTTTATATCCTCTTTCCTGAGGTCTTAATTAATTGAAACATCTATTATCACAATCTTACGTTTGCTAACATTCTTCAAAAATCTTGAAGATTTTCTTCCAATTTTATAAATTCTTTGTTTTTTTCTTTTTCTTAAATCTTCATATTCTGAGCTAACAATCTTGTATGTAAACTAAACTTTATTTATTTTATAAAACCTTTTCTAACTTTAATGATGCTAGTTTTGTAACAAGTTTTTTCTTTCCTGTTTCAAGAACTTTTTTATTATACCTTATTTGCTTTGTTTTTGGCCTTGGAAATAGCTATGAAAATTGTTTTCAGGGGGTGTAAAAATGTTGTTTAGAAAAAAGTAGGGTCCAGGGGGCTTATTTTCCTGGGTAGGATTTAGATGGCTAAACCCTCATTGGAAACCGTGTAGCTGTTGATTTTCCAAGGGAGACTCAGTTCCCTTAGCCCCTCCCATGTTCTCTTGTTCTCTTATTTAACTTGTTACTAGAGCTATAATATTGTTCAGAGAGTTTAGTAACGAAAGAACCAGGGTGGAGATGAGGCAACAGTTCAAAACTATGCGGATCAGAGAAAACTTTTATCGAGCTATTGAGGGATATTTCGATTGGATAGTTTCAGCAGGTTAGGAGGGATTGGATAGTGTTCTTAGTTTAGGATGGATTGGATAGTATCCTTAGGTTAGGATGGATAGGATAGTATTTTCAGATTAAGAAGGACGGTTAGGACGGATTGGATAGTATTCTTAGGTTAGGAGGGATTGAATAGTATCCTTAGGTTAGGATGGATTGAATAGTTTAAGCAGGTTAGGAGGGATTGGAGAGTATCTTTTGGTTAAAATGGATTGGATAGTATCCTTAGTTTAGGATGGATTGGATAGTATCCTTTGGTTAGGATAGATTGATTGCATTCTTAGGTTAGGATGAATTGGGTAGTATCCTTAGGTTAGGATGGATAGGATAGTATTCTGAGGTTAGGATGGATAGGATGGATTGGATAGTATCCTTAGGTTAGTATGGATTGAATAGTTTCAGCAGATTAGGAGGGATTGTATGGTATTCTTTGATTAGGATGGATTGGAAAGTATCCTTAGGTTAGAATGGATTGGATAGTATCCTTAGGTTAGGATGGATAGGATGGATTGGATAGTCTCCTTAGGTTATTAGGATGGATAGGATGGATTGGATAGTATCCTTAATTTGGTTGGATTGAATAGCTTCAGTAGGTTAGGAGGGATTGGATGGTATTCTTTGATTAGGATGGATTAGAAAGTATCCTTAGGTTATAATGGATTGGATAGTATCCTTAGGTTAGGATGGATAGGATAGTATTCTTAGGTTAGGATATATAGGATAGTATCCTTAGGTTAGGATGGGTTTGATAGTATTAGGATGGATAGGATAGTATTATAAGGTAAGGATGGATTGGATAGTATCGTTAGATCGGGATGGATTGGATAGTATCGTTAGTTCGGGATGGATTGGATAGTATCCTTAGGTTAGGATAGATTGGATAGTATTCTTAGGTTAGGATGGATTGGATAGTATCCTTATGTTAGGATAGATTTAGATAGTTTTCTTATATTAGAATGGATTGGATAGTATTCTTGTATTAGAAGGGATTGGATAGTATCCTTTGGGTAGGATGGATAGCAAAGTATTCTTAGGTGGAAAGGGATTGGATAGTATCTTAAGTTTAGGATGGATTGGATATAATCCTTAAGTTAGGATGGATTGGATACTGTTATGCATGAAAATTGTAATGTAGTGATTTTGGAAAGGATATTTTACTAGCGTTAGTTCTAAACCTAAACCTAAACCTTGAATAAGATTCCATATTATTCTAAAATATAGTTTTCTCTTCCATTAATCCGGCCTACACAGCAGGGTAATGTAAATATGGAACTTTATTCCCCCCTCCACCAGGGGCGGATACAGGGGGGAATTTGGAATTTTTTGTTCCTATTTTCAGAATAGCTTCTCAATAGCATGCTTAAAGGAAAGAAACCCTAGTGCAAAACAGGAAAAATATCTGTCTTAATAAACTATAATGTGTGAAAAGTTANTATTTGAGCATATTCTATCCTGGGTTATGGCATACTTTGAGCATATTCTATCCTGAGTTATGCTATACTTTGAGCATATTCTATGCTGAGTTATGGTATTTGAGCATATTCTATCCTGGGTTATGGTATTGGAGTATATTCTATCCTGAGTTATGGCATACTTTGAGCATATTCTATCCTGGGTTGTGGCGCTTTTGGATCGAGCATATTCTATGCATTGCTATGGTATTCCTAAGGCAGTTTTTTTGATATTGTAAAAGTCTTTTTTTGGAGCGGTATAATGGTAAATTAGGAAAAGGTTCTAACTTCAGCAATGTAATGGTATATTAGAAATTGGAGCAGATTATTGCTTTTGAGTAGTTGGCGAAAATGTTATCCAGTGTAATGGTATACTTTGAGCAGATCATATCCAATATTATGATAAACCTAGAGAAGATAAAATATTAATTCTGATTTAGAGAATTTGCCAGGGAGAGAGAGAGGGTTGAGAACAGACATGCTTTTCTTAAGCTTAGGAGACAACAGCAGTTAGAACGAGAACTTAATGGATATGTTGGTTGGATCTGTAGAGCAGGTTTCTTCCTTCACATATACACCCTGTATACATACTGTATACAGGGTGTATACATTATATATACACCCTGTATACCTTATATACACACCCGGTATACACCCTGTATACATTATATATACACCCTGTATACCTTATATACACACCCGGTATACATTATATACACCCTGTATACATTATATATACACCCTGTATACATTATATGTACACCCTGTATATATTATATATACACCCTGTATACCTTTTATACACACCCGGTATACCTTATATACACTCTGTATACATTATATATACACCCTGTATACCTTATATACACACCCGGTATACATTATATATACACCCGGTATACATTATATACACCCTGCATACATTATATATACACCCTGTATACATTATATGTACACCCTGTATATATTATATATACACCCTGTATACCTTATATACACCCGGTATACCTTAAATACACTCTGTTATAACTCATATACACTCTGTATACCTTATATACACTCTGTATACCTTATATACACTCTGTTATACCTCATATACACCCGGTATACCTTATATACACCAGGTATACCTAGTATACATTATATACACCCTGTATACATTATATATACACCCTGTATACCTTATATACACACCCGGTATACCTTATATACACTCTGTTTACATTATATATACACCCTGTATACATTATATACACCCTATATACATTATATATACACTTTTTATACCTTATATACACTCTGTATACATTATATATACACTTTTTATAACTTATATACACTCTGTAGACCTTATTTACACTCTGTATACATTATATATACACCCTATATACATTATATACAACCTGTATACATTATATATACACTTTTTATACCTTATATACACTCTGTAGGCCTTATTTACACTCTGTATACATTATATATACACCCTGTATAAATTATATACATCCTTTATACATTATATACACCCTGTATACATTATATATACAATTTTTATACCTTATATACACTCTGTATACATTATATATACACTTTTTATACCTTATATACACTCTGTATACATTATATATACACTTTTTATACCTTATATACACTCTGTAGGCCTTATTTACACTCTGTATACATTATATATACATTTGTTATAACTTATATACACTCTGTAGACCTTATTTACACTCTGTATACATTATATATACACCCTGTATACAATATATATATTATATACACCCCGTATATATTATATATACACCCTGTATACATTATATATACACTTTTTATACCGTATATACACTCTGTATACATTATATATACACTTTTTATACCTTATATACACTCTGTAGACCGTATTTACACTCTGTATACTTTATATACTGAAATGTTTCCAAAATTGGAATGCAATTGAAATTGACCTGAAAGAAACAAAATCTGCAAAAATATTTAAATATATATCTTGAGAATTATGAGAGGTTTAAAAGCGAAAAATCTAGTTGTATATCATGTGAGTAGATTTTATATAAAAAAACTAACTTAGGGACAATCATTTAAAATAACCTACCCTGGTTAGGCGGGTTCAGACTGCATAGTAAATTGTGATTGCTTATTTGTAATATCTTATTTTTTGTAGTTGAATAAAAATATTAAAATATGAAAAATATACACTTTGTATGCTAGTATATACTTACTTACCTTAAATACACCCGGTAGACCTTATATACACTCTGTTATACCTCATATACACTCTGTATACCTTATATACACTCTGTATACCTCATATACACTCTGTTATACCTCATATACACTTTGTAGTGTATACCTCATATACACTCTGTTATACCTCATATACACTCTGTATACCTCATATACACTTTGTATACCTCATATACACTCTGTATACCTTATATACACTCTGTATACCTTATATACACTCTGTTATACCTCATATACACTCTGTTATACCTCATATACACTCTGTTTACTTCATATACACTCTGTTATACCTCATATACACTCTGTATACCTCATATACACTCTGTATACCTTATATACACTCTGTATACCTCATATACACTNCAAAGGTTTGAAGGGTACTGTTCTAGTAAACACGTATATTCTTTTTGTTTACCAGAGCTGAAACTCTTGTATTCACTGGGGACACTTTTGATTTTCTTCTTAATCCTCTCTTTTGGATAAACCTGTTGGGTTCCGACCAATGAGAGTTATCTCATTAATTAAGGGCAAAATTTCAAATTTCTCAGCTTCCGATTGGCTGTTCGGTTTCTGCAATCGACACTCTGATTGTTTGCATTTTAGAAACTTTCCTGGGTTAGATTGTAGATTAATAAAAAGAATAAATCAAACATTGATCTCGATATCCAAAATTCTAAAGTTTTCAGCTCAGGATACATATAAATTTATAAACACCCTGTATACCAGTATATACAAATTCTCTATACCAGTTTTCTAAACACCCTGTACATTACTACATACACTTTTAACATATATGAAAACTTTTTTATGACAAATACATGAATACATACATATGTGTGATCTACAAGTTTCGGCAAACATTAATATCATGGATATTAAATTATTTATATTATATATAAATATTGGTTTAAGTATGGAGACCACTTCAGTTCTGAGATTAGATATTTTTAACTTTTTCTAAAAATAAAAAATATTATTAATAAAACTACACTGAGAGCTGTTCAAAGGTAATCTAAAAAGGCAACAAATAAACTGTAAAAAAACTAAATATTCTGTAGTTTGCTTGTAAATAAAAATAAAGTATTATTAAAATAATAAATAATATAGAAGAGAATGTGAACAAAGATTCTAGTGACCATTCGACCTAAAAATTGACAACCTTAAAGATACTTCTGCGTTTTAAAATAATCAATTTTCCAAAAGAGATTAATCATCCATTATCAGATAAAGGTTTACAGGGTACTGTTGTGAATCAGATATGCCAGCCAGTAAATGAAGGGTCACTTGAAACCATGTCTACAATCCTTTTAAAGATTTAATCAACAGATAATAGAATAAACTAGAAGAGAAAGTTGCAGTACATCATTGCCACAAACTCAAATTTTCTGATTTGAAACCTGATGGTGTAAACGTGTTGATCTGACAAAATGCCTAATTTAGAATATCAAAGGTCTTCGACATTGGGTTGCAAATATGTAGGAAATCAGAGTTTGTGGTTTTACTGAACCCTGATATTGTAGAGATATCCCTAGTAGCAGTTCTAAACTGAACCCTGATATTGTAGAGATCTCTAGTAGCAGTTCTAAACTGAACCCTGATATTGTAGAGATATCTCTAGAAGGAGTTCTAAACTGAACCCTGATATTGTAGAGATCTCTAGTAGGAGTTCTAAACTGAACCCTGATATTGTAGAGATCTCTCTAGTAGGAGTTCTAAACTGAACCCTGATATTGTAGAGATCTCTAGTAGGAGTTCTAAACTGAACCCTGATATTGTAGAGATCTCTCTAGTAGGAGTTCTAAACTGAACCCTGATATTGTAGAGATCTCTCTAGTAGGAGTTCTAAACTGAACCCTGATATTGTAGAGATATCTCTAGTAGCAGTTCTAAACTGAACCCTGATATCAGTTCTAAACTGAACCCTGATATTGTAGAGGAGGTGATCCTGGCCGAAGAGAGAACTACTGAGGAGGAGAGAATACATATCCTAGAGGCCAGGAGAAGAGCGGCGGCTAAAAAGAAGAAATTAAAAAATCTTGGGAAAAAAAACAGTTCGGACACGGAGGAGGAGGTGGAGGATACAGGTATCAAATATCTTTTCAAATTACATTTACTCAAACAACGTCAAAACAATTGAAAAATAACAAAAATAATCAGGAAAATCTGCTAGAAATGCCGAGATTATCAAATGCAATGTCTGTTGAATTGTTTGTTCCAATTTACGCAGAAACAGCTGAACCAATTGATTTTAAATAATGGGATATCCGGCCGTGAATAAATGATCGCCCTGGATTTAGCATTAAATTAAATTAAAAATTGTGAGTTTACAAAGGAGAAATAATATTCACAGACTTAAAATGAAAATGTTCGCGAAAAATGAAAGGGGTTATAGGCTTACAGCGAAAAATAATCGCTTTTGATCGCAATTAATCTTACTTCTATAAGGAGAAAATTGTTAAAAACAACTCATACCCCCTTTAATTTTTCGCGAACACTCCCTTTAAAATACCGAATTCCTGATGGAAATTTAAGAAACATACAAATTCAATTTAACTTACTTTAAAGGTATTTAACCCTTGTCCTAGCTATGTAACCGACCAACCTAGCTTCAATGTATATTTATACTGTAAATGGCAGTCTATAAGAGAGTGTGCATTTTTTTAAATTCAGGTGTTCCGGTTCGCGGCAAAGCACAGACACGGCGAAGAACAGGATGTACAGGGTTCTGGACTACAGAGAAGAGGATTAGGTAAGTTAGGGTGTCTCAATGACATACACGAACAATAAAATGGCCGGGATTTGCTTTTTCTTTAAAATTTTAAGACAAATTCTGTATTTTTCGTTCTTTACAGTTTTGTATCTAGGTATAAGATCCGTGGCATAGTAAAGCAGCAGTGGTTCTATTGGGCAGTTATTCTCCTGGTCTTTCTTAATACTTGTTGTGTAGCAGTGGAGCACTACAATCAACCTTACTGGTTAACCCAGTTCCTAGGTAACAATTATTAGCAAGCACATAGTTTTCAGATAACCATTAACTAACCTGAAGTTCCAAGGTAACCATTAGCTAACCTATAGTTTCCAGTTAACCATTAACTAACCTAAAGTTCCTAGGTAACCATTAGCAAGCATATAGTTTCCAGTTAACCATTAGCTAACCTAAAGTTCCAAGGTAACCATTAGCCAACCTAAAGTTCCTGGTAACCATTAGCTAACCTTTAGTTTCCAGTTAATCATTAACTAACCTAAAGTTCCGAGTTAACCATTAGCTAACCTAAAGTTCCTGGTAACCATTAGCTAACCTATAGTTTCCAGTTAACCATTTACTAACCTCTAGGTAACCATTAGCTAACCTATAGTTTCTAGGTAACCATTAGCTAACCTATAGTTCCTAGGTAACCATTAGCTAACTTATAGTTCCTAGGTAACCATTAGCTAACCTATAGTTTCTAGGTAACCATTAGCTAACCTATAGTTTCTAGGTAACCATTAGCTAACCTATAGTTTCTAGGTAACCATTAGCTAACCTATAGTTCCTAGGTAACCATTAGCTAAACTATAGTTCCTAGGTAACCATTAGCTAAACTATAGTTCCTAGGTAACCATTAGCTAAACTATAGTTGCTAGGTAACCATTAGCTAAACTATAGTTGCTAGGTAACCATTAGCTAAACTATAGTTGCTAGGTAACCATTAGCTACCCTATAGTGTCTATGTAGCTCAGAATTTTTAATAATGGTAAACCGGAAAAGTTCTGCAATATTATAACTCGAACTTTTCCTTTTTCTCTACAACAAAATGTAACTTCTAGCTTTAGAGTGTAATTTAAATAGAATAGGTATAGTTGCAGTCATTTAGACTTTCAAGGGTTCAATATAACTTTTTACAATTCAAAGTTAGAACCCAGACATATAATATTTCAGGTTTAGGAGTTGAAGAAAATTAGATTTATCATTTTTCATTTTTCTGTTCAGAGATAGCAGAGTATGTGTTTCTCTGTCTTTTCCTCACAGAGATGTCAGTTCGAATGTATGCTCTTGGTACAAGAATATACTTCGAGTCCTCTTTTAATAGGTAAACCATACTCCAAGTATACTTCGAGTCCTCTTTCAATAGATAAACCATACTCCAGGTATACTTCGAGTCCTCTTTCAATAGGTAAACCATACTCCAGGTATACTTCGAGTCCTCTTTCAATAGATAAACCATACTCCAGGTATACTTCGGGTCCTCTTTCAATAGAAAAACCATACTCCAGGTATTCTTCGGGTCCTCTTTCAATAGATAAACCATACTCCTAGTATACTTCGAGTCCCCTTTTTAATAGGTAAACCATACTCCTGGTATACTTCGAGTCCTGTTTCAATAGATAAACCATACTCCAGGTATACTTCGAGTCCGTTTTCAATAGATAAACCATTCTCCGAGTACAGTGAGACCCATTAAACTGTGGAGTAAAAGGCAGACTGTTATAATCAAGTAATGACTTTAAATAGTCCATCCAGCCTGAAATACAGCAATTGTGCAGTTGACACAGAACCAGTTTACCATACTATTAAAATTATTTGCTACAAAAAGGCATCCTGTATGCATTATACGATTGCTAAATATCGTCTTTATATTCCACAGTTTTATGAGTCTCGCTGTACACTTCCAGTATTCGTTTTAAAAGCTTAAATTTAAGGTTTTTAAGTTTGCAGTTTTCTTTTAGTTTTCTGCTTTTCATGTTTCCTCCCTTTTCTAATTTGCGGATGTGACTTGCTCGGGATTAAATTCAGATTTTTCTCTTTGACACAATTCTTCATCACACATTAAGTCTAGGGTTTTTGCTTAAACAAGTAAAGGCTTTTGCTTAACTGTACGCCTCAAGGATTATTGAAAAAATATGATCTTTAGAATTATTGTAGTCTTTTGAAGTATTAAGCGAAGCTTTATTTCACGTTGGTTTAGATTTGATTGTGTTGTGATATGTGCCAGTGTTTTTGAAATGGTTTATACGTCTCTTAGGTAAATATTGACCATTAAAGTGACCATAACTGTGACGATGACCATAAACATTACTGTGACCATAACTGTGACGATGACCGTTATCATGACCATGACTATGACAAAATCTTCATGACCATGGCCATTACAAAATCCATGATATGACCATAACCATGACCACGACAATAAACATGTGACCACGACAATGACCATGACCATGACCATGACTATGACAAAATCCATGACCATGACCATGACCACGACAGTAAACATGTGACCACGACATTAATCTTGACCATGATCATAACCATGACCATGACCATGACCATGACCATGACCATGACCATGACCATTAAAAAATCCATGATATGACAATGACCATGACCATGACTATGACCACGACCATGACCATGACCATGACCATGACCATGACCATGACCATGACCATGACCATGACCATTAAAAAATCCATGATATGACAATGACCATGACCATGACTATGACCACGACCACGACATTGACCATGACCTTAACCAAGACAAAATCCATGACACGATCATGAGTTTGACTAAACTGTTGACGATGACGATGTTTAGAACGGATGCTGGTCAGTTTGGTTTGTCTGTTCTCCGTGCTCTACGACTCCTCAGGATTTTTAAAGTAACAAAGTAAGAGATTTTAGAATTGTTGATGCATTGTATTGTACAACAAGGACCAGGGTTGATTTATCAAAAATTTGAAATTTCCAACTAATGGGACAATTACCGTTCAATTCTTTATTTCTCGATATTGTCAAAACAGATTATAATTATGCCAAGGACATTTTTGTTCCGCTGTAAACACACTTGTTAAGTTTTTATTAATTTATACGATTCTTACGTTTCTTAGATAATTTTAATAATTTTAGGTTTTGAAGTTTAATAAACTTTTGTGAGAAACGTGTCTTTTCTAGAGAACTCGTTTTGACATAGAAAAGAACATTTCTACTCCGCAGCTCCGCTCAGCTAAATAGATCTGGAAAACTAACCCTTTAATAATAATAATATGCAAATTTTGAAGAAAATTTTAAATGTTTTTCTTGATAAGCAAATAGAGGTATTATGTTTTCTTTACGAAGAAAATTTTAAAGTTTGAGAAAGTTTAATTGTTCCAAGGGCCTGGTCTAGAACCTCAGGAATACACATGTTAATATAACATCTCTTCAAATTCCAAGTTTGTTTGAAATTGTTTAAGAGTCCCTTACAATTGTAGGTACTGGTCTTCTCTACGGAACCTGGTTATATCTCTTCTCAGCTCAATGAGATCTATTCTCTCTCTTCTCTTCCTTCTCTTCCTCTTTATTCTTATCTTTGCTCTGCTTGGTATGCAGGTATATCAATCGTAGGAGAACAATCCTTGCATGATCCGAACCAGTACATGGATACCGGTCTAGTGTTTACTCGTACCAGCCCGTCTGGTGTACCACTCATTGAATTCCAGCTTGGAAACCCTGGTTTGCCTGGAAACTAAATTTTCTCTTTAAAAATCAACTCGAAGCTTTTAAAGCTTAAAAACCTTCCAGTGATTCTATAAGAGTTCCGTAATCAAAATTTGAGGCAAATTGGTCAAGAGTTATGATCGGACAGAGAAATAGAGATGACTCCGACGATCGAATACATGTCCAATTTAATGACTGATCTTGGACGATCCCGGAAAAAGTCCGAAGTCTAATTTTTTGAATATTGAACGATCCTCGTGAAAAGTCTAAATATATTGATCTCTGATCGACGATCTAGAGAAAAAATGGTCTTAGAAAAAATCAGACTTCTACTTATATACATTGATATAAAAAAGCCGCATAAAAAAGTTTAGCAATATTCTGATCGACAGAAAACAGAGAAATTCAATTACGATGCAGACACTGCAATTAATCAAATTTTATTTATTTTTCTTAGCCATGTTAATAATAAGAACATTACCCCGATCTAAATTTACTTTAATAATATTGTGAAATTTTCGGTGGATTTCATGGAAGTTTTTGTTGAGATTCAACATGTATTAGATATTTATGGCAACTGCTGTAAAAATTGAGAAATTCTCTAGAAAATTGTTGAATTTGACCGAATAATCCAATATCTTTTATTTCAGTTATTTGGCGGAGCTTTTAATTTCTCCGACGGAACTCCAGATGCAAACTTTGATAGTTTTGTTATTTCTCTTCTCACCGTCTTTCAGGTGATCAAACTTTCTCCTCTTTCTCCTCTCTTCTTTTTTCTTTTACCTTTTCTTCTTTCCACTTTATCCTCTCTCCTTCATCCTTAATCGTTTCTTCTTTCCACTGTATCCTCTCTCCATCATCCTTAGTCGTTCCTTCTTTCCACTTTATCCTCCCTCCCTCATCCTTAATCGTTTCTTCTTTCCACTTTATCCTCCCTCCCTCATCCTTAATCATTTCTTCTTTCCACTTTATCCTCCCTCCCTCATCTTTAATCGTTTCTTCTTTCCACTTTATCCTCCCTCCCTCATCCTTAATCGTTTCTTCTTTCCACTTTATCCTCCCTCCCTCATCCTTAATCGTTTCTTCTTTCCACTTTATCCTCCCTCCCTCATCCTTAGTCGTTTATTCTTTCCACTTTATCCTCTCTCCCTCATCCTTAGTCGTTTATTCTTTCCACTTTATCCTCCCTCCCTTATCCTGAATCGTTTCTCTTAAAGGGACAATATATCTTCATTTCAAGTAATCGTCCATTATAAGAGGGGGATGTCCATTTCCTTGATATACCTTCATCTTATTAATAATTGATAACGTCGTTTTTTTAAATTGAAAAGTTTTTAATTCTGTTAATTTTCACTTGGTTTTCCTGTAGCAAAATTGCGCAAGTCACTTTTTTAGAGAAATTCCAATTAAAAATAATCAGCTTTCAAAATGAAAAACAAGTTATCTAGTTCATAGATCCGACAAAGCTGTTGTGAATCGGACATGTCATTTTTATAAATGACGGATTACTTAAAATAGCAAGAACAACTCTTCAAATGTTTTAAAAATTCCGTTTCCACGTTTTTACAATGTACACATCGTGCATTCTCGTGTACTGCACTGTACTGTAGGTATTGACTGGAGAGGACTGGAATGAAGTTATNTTGTTGTTGTTGCATGCGTGAGATAATGAATAAACCATATTATACAGAGCGTCTCATATCATATTGTATTATCTTTAAGCATTAACGCCAAAATACAGAATAAACATATAATGAATCATGCAAACTGTTTGGCGGGTCTCGCAACATTTTTTTTTTTATAAAGATTAAGTAAAAAAAGTTCTGTTTACCCCAATTCAAATGCATGGGATATGAGACACCCTGTGTAATCAAGATAAATGTACTTTTTGACCTTTATAGATCTGGAATGGTGTACTCCCTGTACTTCATAATCTTGACCTTGTTTGGTAACTACACCCTCCTCAACGTGTTCCTCGCTATCGCCGTGGACAATCTTGCCAATGCCCAGGAGCTCACTGCTGCGGAGAATAAGGTAAAAACCTTCCTAATATTAGGTATCTGCTTTAAAACGCAAAAAATACGCTTTAAAGGGACTGTACGTGTGATTTTAAGAGACCCTCAACGTGTTTATTTCTCAAATGGTTCAAAATGCCGAAAAAAAGAAAATAAATCTTAATATTTTTTAAAAATAAAACAGCTGGAAAAAGTGACTGTAGGCAAATAAGAACAATGCCGTTCTCCTTGATCTGTCAAAGGTTTGAAGGGTACTGTTGTGAATTGGAAACCAAAGGTTTGAAGGGTACTGTTGTGAATCGGAAACCAAAGGTTTGAAGGGTACTGTTGTGAATCGGAAACCAAAGGTTTGAAGGGTACTGTTGTGAATCGGAAACCAAAGGTTTGAAGGGTACTGTTGTGAATCNAGAACCTAGGAAAGTAGAACCTAGGAGAGTAGAACCTAGGGAGTAGAACCTAGGAAAGTAGAACCTAGGAGAGTAGAACCTAGGGAGTAGAACCTAGGAAAGTAGAACCTAGGAGAGTAGAACCTAGGGAGTAGAACCTAGGAAAGTAGAACCTAGGAGAGTAGAACCTAGGGAGTAGAACCTAGGAAAGTAGAACCTAGGAGAGTAGAACCTAGGGAGTAGAACCTAGGAAAGTAGAACCTAGGAGAGTAGAACCTAGGGAGTAGAACCTAGGAAAGTAGAACCTAGGAGAGTAGAACCTAGGGAGTAGAACCTAGGAGAGTAGAACCTAGAAGAGTAGAACCTAGGGAGTAGAACCTAGGAAAGTAGAACCTAGGAGAGTAGGACCTAGGAGAATAGAACCAAGAAAAGTAGAACCTAGGAGAGTAGAACCACGGAGTGTAGAAGCTAGGGAATAGAACCAAGGAGAGTAGAACCTAGGGGAGTAGAACGTAGGGAGTAGAATCCAGGAGAGCAGAACCAAGGAGAGTAGAACCTTGGTGAGAAAAACCAAGAAGAGTCAAAATATCCTGGTTCAGGTTGAGGATGAAGAGGAGAAACTCCGTCCTGTTCAACCAGTAGAAGAGGAGGGATCAAACCGACCCATCCTACCGTACTCCTCTCTCTTCGTCCTGTCCTCAGATAATCCGTAAGTTCTCCTAATCTCTAATTATTTATTAATTAACTAAAGATTAAAAAATACTAGATATATTTGTTTAATGATTGAAAATACAAGAAAAAGCAATAAACGTATGTATAAGATAAAGATGAAAAATTTTACTAATAACTAAAGATAACAAGATAAACATGAATATTACACTAAAAATAAAATAAATTACAAGATAGATATAAAAAACAGAAAAAAATTAAAATTCAAACACTTTCACATTTTGGTAACGTGTTTTGTAAAAAAAAATGGAAAACGTTATAAATATTTTATGGCTCAAATTTTAACTACCTATTCAAAATTATAGATTAAAGAAGGATTTGAATCGGTGATTCAAATTTGAACCGGCGGTTTGCAGTTTAAGTTCATTTTACTCCGACGGAACAACACTGCCACACTGTAGCTTGTTCCTGTACACTGTACAGTGTACACCGTAATGCAGCTTTTCAGTGAACACTGTTTTGTGGGGGATTTTTCAATCTGTTGCGAATTGAATAATCTTTGTAGACTAATAATTGAATCATGAATTTTTCATTGGTAAACAATTTTTTACACAACTTTATAGTGTAACTAAACACTGGCATAAAACGTTGGTTTTTCAACTTGATGGTGAAAACTTTGGATGTAAGATTTAGCAGAATTCATAGTTTTAAATATCAAAAGACTAAGATATCGGGTTACAAAGATAAAGGGATTAGAAAAAGAAGAGTTGATGACGATGCCCGACTTTTGAAACCATTACCAGATAAATAAAATGAAAATATCGGCGTTTTTCTTCTTTAAAAGGTTTTCAAAATTAAAACATTAAGCATCTGATTCATACTTGATTAGAAAAAGTGTTGAAGGGTACCGCTGTGAATCGGGCACTGCCATCCTTGCAGGGGGGTCACTTGAAATAACGCTCACAGTCCCTTTAACTATTGTCAGATCAGCTGATTTATCAGGTTCCGTGTTGGTGTCCATGCTGTTGTAACCTATCCGTTCTTTGATACCTTCATCATGATCATCATTGTCGGCAGCTCTATATCCCTGGCAGCTGAAGATCCTGTTGATGAGAGGAGTGCGAGCAATCAGCTTCTCGCATACTTCGACTACATCTTCACCTGCATCTTCGCAATAGAGATGCTTCTCAAGGTACCACTTTTTGGCGGATTTTTTTTTGCTAATCTCGTAAAATAAAAATAAAAAATTTTGCGATTGAAAACGAAAAATAATGCGTTTACAGTGAAAAAAATAAATCGGTTCACCGTAACAAAGTCAAAATAGGAATTTGTCAAAAATGAGCATAAAGCAATCTAACTTTCGACATTTGGTACAAAAAAGGGCTATTTCTAGAATTTTATGTTTCAAGGGGGTCTTTTAATCTTATTTATTTACTTTATTTATTGCTTAATTAGTGTATTTAATTACACAAACTTCTCTTTTTTCTATCTTTTCTTATCTGTCTCTAGGGATTCATCAGGAGTAATATTTTCTCCAAAAAATATCTTTCAATTTTTTGGCTGAATAGGGAAAATAATCGATTTTACAGGAAATAAAGGAGTTTTTGGGCATGCACCTTAAAGGTGAGGAAATCATGCCAGTTGAACAAAATTTAAATTTTTTCCCCCCAATACAATCTTTGAAAATATTGTATGAAAGAATTGTAGACAGGAACAAATGAAAAAGCAGAATAAAGAGAATAATGAGAATAATATTAATTAAAGATCTGGAAGTGGAAACTAATTTATCTACTTAACCGTTAATTTACTAATTAACTAATTTATCTTCTTAACCGTTAATTTACTAATTAACGCTCACCTTTATTTCAGAAGAATTAATCCTTTGTTTACAATTAAATAATTATTTCTTTTGTAATTATTATCAGCCAAACACTTTGAAAATAAAAAAAATGATACATTTTTTTCTATGGTTTATCAAAACTCAAATTTTGACAGGGGAACTCATGGGTTGAAATTATATACATATATAATTACATAAGCCACCAAACCCCTGCCGAGTGCTGATGCTTTGGTTGATTTTTTTTTTAAATAAAAAATAAATAGATCAAATAATTATTTATATATATTCCAGATTCTAGATCTGGGAGTGGTACTCCATCCTGGGAGTTATTGCCGGGATTTCTGGAATATTCTTGACGCCATTGTTGTCTGCTGTGCTCTTGTAGCCTTCCTATTTGCGTAAGTTTTATATATTTCCTCCCTTGAATTTATTTAATCAAAAACTGATTTATTAACATAAAATTTTAGCATAAAATTGAATAAACATTTAGGAGGGTACTTATCTAATCTTCAGAAAATTAGCTTTCATTATTCAAGAAATTAATCCGTTTTCTGATTAATCACATAATCACATTATATTAGCATTTTATCACATAATCACATAATCACATAATCACATTATATTAGCATTTTATCACATAATCACATAATCACATAATCACATTATATTAGCATTTTATCACATAATCACATAATCACATAATCACATTATATTAGCATTTTATCTAAATCCTCTCTCTCTATCTCTCTTTCTTTCCATTGCTTCATACCTTTTAATATCTGACACTCTCAATCTTTCTCTTTCTCCTAAAATTCTTTATTTTCTTTATCAAACCTATTTTTCTTTTTCCCCATCTTCTTTCTCCCTTTTCCCCATCCCCATACACCCTCCCCCCTCCCTTCTAAAATCCTTTATGGTTGGATAATGAGAATTTTCTAAAGAAAAATAAATCATGGAGAATACATGTTTTACAATCGCGTTTATTTTACCGAGTTTTCCGTTACGATTTTCTGCAAGCAATATTTCACATACAAATGCATATTGGCGATACTTATGCAGATATATGATATTTTTAGTTCATATTTCAAGCTTTAAATACTGCAAAATCAAATTATCAACGTTTTATTACAACATTAGGTTGCAAAGATAAATAGATTAGAAAATTAGAGTTTGGAGAGAAGAAATCAGTTCCTTGCAATTGATCTAAAACTCCTAAAAAATTTGTTTCAGTGGAAGTTCAACTGGACAGAACTTGAGCACCATTAAGTCCCTCCGAGTACTCCGGGTTCTCAGACCACTCAAGACTATCAAACGAGTTCCTAAACTCAAGGCTGTGTTCGACTGTGTCGTTAATTCTCTTAAGAATGTGTTTAATATCCTCATCGTTTATATACTTTTTCAGGTACTGTGTTTATATACTTTTCCAGGTACTGTGTTTATATACTTTTCCAGGTACTGTGTTTATATACTTTTCCAGGTACTGTGTTTATATACTTTTCCAGGTACTGTGTTTATATACTTTTCCAGGTACTGTGTTTGTATACTTTTCCAGGTACTGTGTTTATATACTTTTACAAGCACTGTGTTTATATACTTTTCCATGCACTGTGTTTATATGCTTTTCCAGGTCTTGTGTTTATACTTTTCCAGGTACTGTGTTTATATACTTTTCCATGCACTGTGTGTATATACTTTTCCATGCACTGTGTTTATATACTTTTCCATGCACTGTGTTTATATACTTTTCCAGGTCTTGTGTTTATGCTTTTCCAGGTACTGTGTTTATATACTTTTATGGTACTGTGTTTATATACTTTTCCAGGTACTGTGTTTGTATACTTATCCAGGTACTGTGTTTATATACTTTTCCATGCACTGTGTTTATATACTTTTCCATGCACTGTGTTTATATGCTTTTCCAGGTACTGTGTTTATATACTTTTCCAGGTATTGTGTTTATACTTTTCCAGGTAGTGTGTCTATAATTTTCCAGGTAATGTGTTTATACTTTTCCAGGTTCAAGTTTCTACCCATGTGTTTGTATTTGCATAATTTATTCCATTAAGATATTTTGTCATCTGAGATATGATTTACTCACAAACTTTTTATTCATAATTCTTTTTATTCTTCGGGGTTTATGGAACCTACCTGGGTTTTCTTTTCCCCATGGTTTTTTTCCCATAGTTTTCTTTTTTTCCCCATGGTTTTCTTTTTCCCCATGGTTTTCTTTTTTCCGTGGGTTTCTTTTTCCCATGGTTTTCTTTTTCCCATGGGTTTCTTTTTCCCATGGTTTTTTTTCCATGGTTTTCTTTTTCCCATGGTTTTCTTTTTTCCCATGTTTTTTTCCCATGGTTTTCTTTTTCCCATGGTTTTCTTTTTTCCATGGTTTACTTTTCCCACGGTATTCTTTTTTCCCATGGTTTTCTTTTTTCACATGGTTTTCTTTTTCCCATGGTTTTCTTTTTTCTCATGGTTTTCTTTTTTCCCATGGTTTTCTTTTTTCCCATGGTTTTTCTTTTTTCCCATGGTTTTCTTTTTTTCCCATGGTTTTCTTTTTTTCCCATTGTTTTCTTTTTTCCCATAGTCTTCTTTTTCCCCTGGTATTCTTTTTCCCATGGTTCTCTTTTTTCCCATGGTTCTCTTTTTTCCCATGGTTTTCTTTTTTCCCATGGTTTTCTTTTTCCCATGGTTTTCTTTTTTCCCATGGTTTTCTTTTTTCCCATGGTTTTCTTTTTCCCATGGTTTTCTTTTTTTCCCATGGTTTTCTTTTTTCCCATGGTTTTCTTTTTCGCATGGATTTCTTTTTTCCCATGGTTTTCTTTTTCCCATTGTTTTCTTTCTTTTAATGTTTTTTTCCCCCGGATTTCCCCCTTGTTTCCCCCCTCCCAATATTTCTTTTTTCCAGGATAATTTTTACTAATGTTTTTTTTTAACATCAAAGGTCTGAATTATTTTCTCATGTTGTTTCTTATAAAACCCGATTTTTTATTGGAACATTGAGAAGATTAAGTAGAACAGAGCTGAAAACTTTAGAATGGTGGATATCGAGATTAAGGCTTGATCCTTTCTTTTTGATAATCTGAAGACTCATTTAGACTTTAGATTAACTTTTGTAGATTAGAGATGCGCTCTTTAACTTTTGAAAAACCGGTTTTTAATCTTTGCGCATTT